GCTCTTCAATTAAAAGCCGGAATGGAAGGCCAGAATGGAAGGCGCGCTGAAGATATCCATAGATACCCTTGCAGATCCATCGTTCGGATGGAATATGTACAACACTACGATATACTCTTATAGGGCCAAGAGGTCTTCTGGCACAGCCACACGGGAAAAGCAGGAGCAGCTGCCCCTTGGGGACGCTGGGGAGCAGACACGAGTGGGATGAGTGGGCGGAGATGAGGGCCCAGAGCGAGACCCATTCCATTCCATTCCCTTTCCGTCTTGGCCAACTATTAATTAGGTTGTTAATTTTGCATTTGGCGTGCGTCGCTGGCTTTTCCCGTGAAAAGCGCAGCAGCAGCAGCACACGTGGAGAGGGGAGGAGAGCGACATGCGGCATGTGGCACGATGATAAATCTCCGCATTTGTGCGACACCATTGGGGAACATGTGTCGCAGCTTGGCCGCACTTCCCGTGGCCCCCCACTCCATGGGGACAGCCACTGGCACTGGGACTGGGACTGGCACTGCCCCGCCCCCAGTGCACCTGTCTCAATTAAGCGTGCAAATCGCATGCCTGTCAAAATAAAATGTTTCCCGTGTAGAAATAGTGCCCTGGCAGCCTGCAGAGATCTAAGGGGATCATAAAGATGCAGTAGTCCCCCCGTACCCGCCCCAGTTCCCGTGTCCGAGGGACACCAGCCACCAGCCAGGCGCAGACCCAGACCCAGGAGATGTCGCTGTCAGTGTCGCTTTGATCGTGCCTCAGGTTGATTATTTGCGTTGCATTTGCAGCTTGTTCCACATGCCTCTTCTTCTGGCAAGGAATGCCTTTTCGAATGACGTTCATGCGTGTTGGAGTTTCGTGATAATTGACTCGGAGGTGGGGTGGGGTTGGAATTCACCCAAGTGACAAATTTAATTGGCCGCAAAACTGGGCCAAAAGATGACTGATCTGTGAGTGTTGTTGGCCTCTAAAGATGGTCTATAGGGTGCTACTATTGTACATCCCTAATGATAAAGGTTTCTCAGAAATCCCTTCTTTGCGTCCGCAAGATTCAATGGGATTTGTATTCATATTCTACTCTCTGCTTACCACCTTCTGCTACAACTCTTTCAATATCATTTCCCCATATAAACTCTCTCTTTTATAGAGCTCCCCTTCAGTGTCTTTGGCCTGCTGTTCGTTGACAGTTTTCGCTGATGCTTTGATAGATCTCATTTGGTTCTACTCGAAAAGTAAATTGAGCAAGACTCCACCGACTCCTCCGAATCAAATTGATTTCGTTGCTAAATAATTCCGTCGAAATGTGGCATCAACGCCTCGTTAATTAGAGGATGCTCTCCTGCCGAGTGGCAGCTAAAGAGCCGTGACAGGCTGCAGAGCAATTGACATTTTGATAAATACTAGATGCGGAGAGGAGTACGGGTGGAGTATCCGTCCAAAGGAGTACGAGCAGTAGGACACATGTTCTTGTCTCAGATCGGATATGGGAATGGTAGAGGATGCGGAGAAGCAGTGCAGAACTTAATGATCTGTGCCTAAATGAAGAGAGCCAGAGATATGACAAGTAAAAAAGAATTTATGGCTCTAAACAGCCACAACAGGAGCGGTGCGAGGGGACGGTGGTGTAGGCCAAAAACTAACCGGGAACCCACCCCCCCTGGCGAGGCCAAGGGCGAGGGCAACCCTCCGACAAGACAACTTTTATCAGAAATTCGCACAAATCACGCAAAAATGTTGCACACTTAACGTGAGGCACTCACTCGCGTTAGGGGTGAATCGCCGAGGGAGGGAGAGGTTGACAAGGGTGACCTGCCCCTGCCCCTGCCCCCGACCACACCAACATTCGACTGATAAGAACTTGCAGCCTAATGCAGCACGGGAGGCCATGGGTGAGGGGCTGTGGGCTGTGGGGTAGCCGGAAAGGAGAGTATCTGGAAATGGGAACGAGCAAATTTTGCAACAATTTCCGGCCAGCAGCCAGGACAAAGGACAAAGGACTCACTATGTCCAAGTGGCAGCATTTCAATTGCCCCGAAATTGGAAATGGAAAATGCTAAAATGGAAAAAAGCGCCACTGAAAACTCATAAATTGTAGATCGAAGCGGCATTTAGGAAGCGTTCACCATGCGTGACCAATTATTGAAATACGACTTTAATTGAATTTCAATAAAATGTAGAACATTTTGTGTATTTTCTGCATTCTGGCCATTCTGTGAATAGGAAATGTGCCCTAAACCAGCGGATGGAACCAGCGGAACCAACGGAACCTGCTCCTGATTCTGTTTCTGTTTCTGTTTATTTATGGCAAAATGGCGAAATGTTTTTGTATAACTCTAACAATTGTTTCCCTCCCCCCCGCCATTGTTTCATTATTTGCCAACGCATTTTACGGATAGAATAGAGAATAGAGAGAGTGCTGCATACGGGCATCTGGGGGTACGGGGCAATTTGTTTAGAACCTGATGTCTAGGACTACAGATCACGCTCTCCCGTTGATTTATGGCCCACAACCCGTTCGCCGTGTCAATAGTTCTCTCTTTTGATTTATGTATGGCTGTGGCCCCTGGAAAGGTGCTCCATTTGGGGCTCCAAGAGAAGGGGAAATTATGATTACACCTCAACCATGCATCGATGAAGGCAGTCGACTGCAAAATGTCAGGCCCACCCGCAGAGCTTCCTGCAGGACTCCGGTACCCCAGGACCCCAGGACGCAGAGCCAAATCAACGGATTACAAGCGACACACCATTCACAATTCCACAATTCCACAATGAACAACAATAACGAGCGCAATCGTTGATTGAAGGTGGAAAGCCGAAATGCTTTTGCTTTTGGGGTGGAATTGAGTGGAAAACCTTTGGCATTTGGCAAAGGGTTCGGGCATTGAGCATTGGGCATTGGGCATCGGGTAATCGGCGGGGTATCGGAGTATCGGGGTATCGGGTGTCGGGTGAATGAGTGACATCGGCGCATGACAAAAGTCACATGGCATGCGGATTAGTTACACCTTTTGCACAGGACACAGGGCACAGGACATAGGACACACAACACACAGACACACGCGCGTTGCAAAGGATGTTGGCTGTTGGCTGTTGGCTGCTGTCGTTGTTGAGGCGGACACGGAGACATTGTTGCTGCCCGCTGAACTGTGAATGGAATGCATTTTCCGGGGCATACTCTGAACCTAGGGCCGTGCCATACTCGTGCCATGATTTATTCCCGATTGTGCAGAGATTAGCGCTAATGGCTGAGGATAGCCCACAGCCCACAGGAACAGCCTACAGCCAGGACTACAGCTGTCCTGCAGGAGGAGAAGTGGATGGATGGATGGAAGGGTGGATGGGTACATAGATGGGCGGATAGAAACCTTTCAGCATAATTGAATTTGGCCATTCCTTCGAGGGACATTCACCTACTTAAGCCCCCAAAAAATGGCCTCTGATAACTAAGCCAAATATTAGCCAGGCCAGGCCGAAACGAAGCGAAAGACAAATGCCATGTGTGTCAACAGTTCATCGAGGCGTCAATTACTTTGCATAACTTCTGAGGACGGAGATGGAGATGGAGATGTCGTGAGTGAGAGTGAGTCCTCCAGTTGCTTCAGACAACAAATGAATTTTAAGTGTGGCCAAAAGAAACGGCCCAGAAACGTGTGCGTACGACTTAATCTGCTCTTGGCCCGCTTAGCGGGTAGCGCGAACCCCATCTGGAAGATGGAAGATGAGGCAGAGTCGCAGGATATGTGTATTTATGGAAGGAGCCTCTCTCAGATATTATCCGCTTATTTATTGCAGTCGTTAACATATCTTAGCCAACTGGAGTTTATCTTTGAGGCAGCTGCTGTGGAGCCCGGGAGTTAAATGAGCCAAGATCTGGACAGGGACTGCGATTTGGGCCGGGGACTAAGTGAAATTGTTTAGTTTTTGCACGACTCCATCGCAGTGCAAGTGAAAGCGGAGACGACACATGTCTTATGCTAAGTACGTGACGATTTGTATTATTTTAAGCGAATTAAAATCCTAGAAATCAGAGTCTTAGTCGAGGATAACTTGTGGCCTACTTAGAGCCACTGGCACTCCTCCAGCATTTCAATTTCGGGATGAAAGTGAATTGCAATCCCCCCATACCGAAAAGGGGTTGGGTATCCCTTTGACGGCAATCAATAATGAAGAGTTCTCCAGAATAAATGCCAGGGCATTAGGCCGCACCGCAGAGGCCGCAACATATTTAGAAAGCCATTTTCACATGCCACTGGAGGAATGGATGTCAATGTCACCGCCCTGGCAATCCGTAGGATAATGATTAATTGTCAATTTAGGTGGGACAACAGCCTGGCCACAGGCCGGAGAAATGGCCAATAAACGGCTCGGTCGACAGTTTACCTTAAAAGCCAGCAGCCAGCAGCCCACAAACGGAGCTTCCGGGATAGGCCTACAACTATTCGAAGCCCAAAAAGAGCCACACACTCACATGTCCATCAACATCAACATCCAACCTCCAGCGTCGGGCAGGAGGAAGTCCTCGATGTGGTTGGGCCCTGAGTCCTCCGACTGGCTGACATGTAGAAATAAATGTACTAGAAAATTACCAACTTATGTAATCTTGGTTAGCATCATTTATCAAGTGGACGTTTTGCAATTTTTCTTACTTTTGCAGAGACCCAGAAGCGAAGCAGGAGCACCAGGACATGCCAAGAAGTCGGCACAGGACACACACTCATGTGCGTATGTGTGCATGTGTGTTTGCGTGTAGACTCAGTTCCAGACTCACAGGAAATGACCATTTCTCAGCCTTTCTCTCGCTCTCTCTCGCTCTCTCTCTCTCTGGGGGACTAGAGAGTGAGGTAAATTTGTCATACCTTGAGGTCTGCTTTGAGGAATGTCCTTCTGGCTAATTGAAACTCCTTGGGAGGAGCGGAGAGCTAAACAGAGAACAACTTTGACGGGCTTCGACTCAGTTGTCACTGAAAACCAGAAAATTAATGAAATTCCAAATTCTCAATTTGTCGAGCTGCTACTCTGCCTCTTCCGTTCGTCACGCAGTCATTGGTTGCACTCTTTCGTTCGTTCCAAATCGGATCCCCATACGTCCCTACATTCTTGGTCCTCGCCTATATCTGGCTTCTAAGATGCGTGATTATGAGCCAGCAGCAGTTTCAGTTCAACAACAAGGAAGACTACAACACCATCCTCGACGCGATGAGCAAGGACTTCAATGAGCGCTGGAACAAGCAGACGAAGTCCCCCTACACCAATCTGGAGAACTACGTGCAGCGAGCGGTCCTCGGGAATGGCAGCTTCGGCACTGTGGTGCGTCCTCAGAAAGTCCTGACGATCCCCTCTCACTCCCCGAGACTAATCCCTTGACCATCAACCACCCACAGCTCCTTGTCAGAGAGAAGGGGGGCAAGAACTACTATGCCGCCAAGATGATGAGCAAGGAGGATCTGGTGCGGCTGAAGCAGGTCAATCATGTTCACAACGAGAAGACGGTCTTGAGCGCCACCCGATTCCCCTTCCTCATCCACCTGATTGACTCCTCCAAGGACTTTGACTACCTCTATCTCATCCTGCCCTTCGTCAACGGCGGCGAGCTCTTCTCCTACCACCGCAAGTGAGTATTCCCAGCTGCCTGTGGGTCGAGCTCTGAGTCCTTTATTCCCAGCACCTAACGATGGCCAAGAATGCGGAAGTTCAGCGAGAAGCAGTCCCGATTCTATGCCTCCCAGGTGGTGCTGGCCCTCGAGTACATGCACTACATGAATCTCATGTACCGCGACCTGAAGCCCGAGAATATCCTCCTGGACGTGAACGGATACATCAAGCTCACGGACTTTGGCTTCACGAAGGTACCAGTACCAGTGCCAGTACTAGCTAGGACTATATTTCTACCTCTCAATCGATCTGTTTTTAGCGCGTGGAGGGACGCACCACCACCCTGTGCGGCACTCCCGAGTACCTGGCCCCGGAGATCATTCAGCTGAAGCCGTACAACAAGTCCGTGGACTGGTGGGCCTTCGGCATCCTGCTCTTTGAGTTCGTGTCCGGCCGCTCGCCGTTCGCCTCCCACAACCGGGACGTCATTCTGATGTACTCGAAGATCTGCCTCGGGGAGTTCCGCATTCCCAATTACTTTAGCGCCCACCTGAAGACACTTGTGGAGGCACTCATGCAGGTGGACACGTCCAAGCGGTAAGTGCGAGGAGCCTGCCACAGCGTCGGCATCTCATTCGACAGCTGTGAAAGGTGTTCTTTCAGCCTAGGCAACTCCCCGGACGGGCCCGCGGACATCAAGACCCACCCGTGGTTCCAGGGCGTCGACTGGTTCGCGGTGCTGAACCAGCAGGTTACGCCGCCCTATATTCCGACCGTTACCAACATCGAGGACCTCTCGCACTTCGACCACTTCGAGAGCAAGGCCAAGCTCAAGTCTAGGATCAATCGGCATCCGGAGTTGTTTATGGATTTCTAGGATCTGTTGTGGATGTTCCTTTTTTGTCAGTTAGTTTATAGTGTCTGAGATTTATCGAATATAAATAAGTTCCGATCCGGAAGCGTGCCTTTTGGGAACTTTTGAATCTACAAAATTCTAAATTCGAATAAAACGGAAAGATGGGTCCTCCTCCTGGCGAAACGCCCATGCACTTCAGCCCCAAGACGGACTATCTCCTGATCCTGGACAAGCTGCGGGAGGACTTCAACAAGAAGTTCGCGCAAAACGTCCCGTCGCCCGGAACGGGCCTCGACACCTTCGAGGTCAAGTCCACTCTGGGGGCGGGCTCCTTCGGGAAGGTGCAGCTGGTGCGGGAGAGGGAGTCCGGCCAGTACTTTGCCTCCAAGCAGCTGAGCAAGGACCAGATTGTCAAGACCAAGCAGGTGATGCACGTGATGAGCGAGAAGAACGTCCTGCGCTCCATCCACTTCCCCAACACGGTCTACCTGATCGCCTCGTTCAAGGACTTCGACAGCTTGTACCTCATCCTGCCGCTCATCGCCGGCGGCGAGCTCTTCTCCTACCACCGCAAGTGAGTCCTCGCTCGCTCTGGTTTCTCCCGTACTACATGGAGAACATCTTGAATCCTGTATCCGCCTTTCAGGGTTCGCAAGTTCACCGAGAAGCAGGCCCGCTTCTATGCGGCACAGGTCTTCCTCGCCTTGGAGTACCTCCACCACTGCAGCCTGCTCTACCGGGACCTCAAGCCCGAGAACATCATGATCGACAAGAATGGCTATCTGAAGGTGACGGACTTTGGGTTTGCCAAGGTTTGTATCAACAAAAACACATGGTTTGGTGTGACCAAAAATTCCCTTTTGTGTAGAAGGTGGAGACCCGAACGATGACACTGTGCGGAACGCCCGAGTACCTGCCGCCGGAGATCATCCAGTCGAAGCCGTACGGCACCAGCGTGGACTGGTGGGCCTTCGGGGTGCTCATCTTTGAGTTTGTGGCAGGGAGCTCGCCCTTCTCCGCGCACAACCGCGACGTGATGGCGATGTACAACAAGATCTGCGAGGCGGACTACAAGATGCCCTCGTACTTCAGTGGATCCCTGCGGCACCTGGTGGACCATCTTCTGCAGGTGGATCTGTCCAAGAGGTAGGCCAAGCCATAGCCAATGAAAGTGTTTTCTAATCCCCGCCAAATCCTGTAGATATGGTAACTTGATCAACGGCAATAAGGACATCAAGGAGCACGAGTGGTTCAAGGATGTCGAATGGATACCGCTGCTCAATCAGACGGTGCATGCCCCATATGTGCCCAACCTGGCCAACTCCGAGGACACGACCCACTTTGACAAGATCAACGAAAAGCCGCGATCCAAGGCCAAGAACATGCGTCACGAGGAGATTTTTGCGGACTTCTAGCTGGATTTATCCTCAATCTTCGTCTCTTGATTCTAGTCTGTAACAGTTTTCGGCAGCATAAAAAGCTAAACATTTCCACTCTTCGCCACTCGATCGGCGATTGGGGATCGGGGATCGGGGGTGACTTCTGCTTGACAGCCAGCTGGTGCTCACATGTGGACTGGATGGAAGCGTAGAAGATTTTCCTGGCATTTTCTGGGAAAACAGCTGCTGCAGAGCACTCCCTCGATTTCCCACACTTGTTGCACGCCCTCGGCTCCCGATTCGACAAACTTCAGTTGTAATTAGACTTGTGGCAGTGCCATAAATCTCCCACATCTCGGGCGACGTCTTTTGTTGAAAAGATCTTTGATGCAATTGGATGGATTTATGGCCACTTTTGTTTATTTATTTATCTGGGCGCCCCCCGAAAAGCGAGTGGGAGTACACTCAGCCAAAGAGCATCTGTATCTATGTATCTCTCGAGAAGAGTTTCGCAGTCATCTCTCGAAACTTTTGCACGAAATTATGTTAAACAATATTTAAACGGGCGCTGCTCCGCTCCGCTCGTCCCCCGTCTAGAGAAACGCCATAAATCTTTTATACCTTTTTCTGCTCTTCTGCTCTTCTGCTCGTCTGCTCTTCTGCATATCGGGCAACATTGATTTATATGCAAAGACTTAATAAAAATAGAGCAGACAGCACGGGAGAAGCAAAAACTAGACGCCAGACCATGGACCATGGGCCATGGGATACCTTTTCTGCCTCTGTCCTATGTCCAGTGGCTAGCAAAACAAAGAGCCACCGAGGATGGGGCCATGGGGTATCCAGCAGGAGAAAGGAAAAAAGTTATGATTATCATAATTTTTGTTACGTGAGTTTTCATGTGGAAAAGATGAAACATCATCGTCTCTGCTCTTGTCTGCTCTTCTCTACTCTCTGGTCTTTGGTCTCTGCAGCAACGTCCGCCTTGCCTGCGTCTCCTTGGGGTGGTTGGTGGCTGGTGGCTGGCAGAAGTCGTCATCACTATAATCATGGCACGCATTTACTCCTGTTTTTACCTCTGCTTTTTGGCGCCCGCCAGGCCGGCGCCAGGACACCAGGACGCCCTGCTCCACCGCCAGACAAGACTCTGACTCCTCCGACCACGCATCTTCGTCTCCAGACACATTTTCCTCTCAATGTTGTGTTTTACTTGTGCGTTTTCGGTGGTTTCCTTCCTTCAGGAGAGGGCTGGTGCTTCCTGGCCAGACGGGGAATCGCCGAATCAGAATCGGAATCAGCAGCGGACTGTGCCTCACTGTACCTCACTGACTCTGACTCTGACTCGGACTGAGTAAGACATCATGCATTCTAATGAGAATTTTAATTGCAGCCCATTGACCACTTGAAAAGTTCCGTCAGCTTTCGTTCCGGCCCAAAACGGGGCACGTGGCGGATGCGCCTCACGCTCGACTAGCCTGAGAATTGATGGAAGGCCATGGCCCAGGCCCAGGCCCAGGCCCCGTGTGCTCTGTCCTGTGTCCAAGTTCGTGGCTCAACCCTCCTCGCAATGCAGTGACAAATTTGCAGCACGGAGGAAATTAGCGATGCCCGCCGTCAGATACATTTCACATTACGGACAGACAATTGCGTCCCGGGGGTTGGTGTCCTTCCCGTATCTTCCCGTAGCACTTCCCCGAGAAGTAAGCGAATTAATTGTTGTTTTGATTGCACAGAATGACGACGAGAACTGAGGATGGGTCCTGAAGTGGCTGGGAAAATCAGGAGACGCGCAGAACGGGTTTTGGGAAAATGAATTGTACGTTTATTGATGCATGAAATGTGCATGTGGATCGGTGAAAATTCGTTACGAAACTTAGAATCTAGAAGGAGCACCAGTCGATGCCCAGGACCTACGACTGTTCCAGCTCAATCTCCACAGAAACACCGGGCAGATCGTCCTTGAACTCTGGCGTGTAGACCTTGCCAGAGGCGAGGACGAACTGCTCCTCGCAGTCCATGATGAAGTAGGCGAAGGGGCGGTTCACCTCGAACCGTTCCACGCCCGGCTCCGGCTCCGGCTCGGGCACGGGCAGGACAGAGGCGGAATCCTCTGCAGCCTGTGGAGAGCGGGCCTGGGTGGCCGCGGAGAGGGCGTTGGCGCTGCTGCCGCCCTCGTCCACGCGGACATTCACGAACTGGACAATCTCATCCACATGGACGTCGGGGTCCTCCGAGAGCAGCCCCAACTGGGCCTCGGTGCGGGAGAAGAGGCGCCGCAGGCCCATCTGCTTGAGCATCGACTCGGAGCGCGAGGTCTCCTCCACCTGGAACTTGGGCAGGGACACGTGCATCTGCCGGAGCTGCGCCTTCTCGCGTCCCAGCTGGAAGTCGCTGGGCTGCATCTGGGCGATGACATCGTGGAGGCCCTCCGTCTCGTCGGGCAGCAGGATGCACAGGGCGTAGCGCGAGGTCTCGTAGGGCAGCGACAGGACACGGGCCTTCAGCTGGGGCAGATCGGCCACCAGGAACTGGCCGCGGGTGTGCATCATCGGAGCCTTCATGGCGTCCTCGTTGGTCATGAAGAAGAACTCGTCACTCCCATCCCTCAGTTGGTAGAAGGGCGTGGCCCAGCTCCCCCTGTAGTACAGGCCGTTGAAGAGCAGCATCTTGGACTTGGCTCCGGCGGAGCGGCCAGTGATGGAGTTGGCGCTCAGGGCAGAGGTGATGTCGTCCTGCCGGAACAGACTGCGGGCTCCATAGACCTGGAAGAGAGTGCTTATCAAAGGATAGCCCAGCTAGAGAGCATTCTTTCTTCTTACCCGACTAACCGCTCCCAGATGCGACTCCAAGGCCAGCATGATCTCGTCGGCACCGCCCTCCTTGGACGCCGCTGTGTTGACGGCGCTTTCCAGTTTCTGGAGGGGTAGACGCACCTTCTCGGGTTCACCGGCGGTCACCGCCTCAGAGCCGACCACTTTGCGCAGCTTCTCCTCCTCCTGCACCGTCTCGTTCTCCTCCAGATTGAGATTCTGACTCTGATTCTCCTCGTTGTCGCTCCTCTTGTTCTGCTGCTTCTCCACTGGATTTTCCCCAGCTGCGGCGATGGCTTGTTTTTCCTGTTTTTCCACAGCCTCTGCTGCTGCTTCTGCTGCTGCTTCTGCTGCTGCTTCTGCTGCTGCTTCTGCTTCTGGGGTTGTGGCCTCCGCTTCCGCCTCCGTGGTGGTGGTGGCTGCCGCCTGCTCCCTTTGCAGCTGCTCGGCCTCCGCTTGGGCAACTGGTTTTTCCACATACTGCTTGTCGTCCACGTCGCGGTCCAGCTTGGAGGCCTCCTTGTCCAGCACCTCCTCGCCGTAGGTGTCGGCGGGCACTGACAGCAAATCGTCGTCCAGGTTGATGCGCTTCAGGGTCTCGAATCCGATCACATCCTTGCTGTTACTCTGCTCCGTGCTGCTGAGGCTCTCCTCCCCGGCCTCGGGGGCGTCGGATCCGCTTCCCTCTGGCTGGAGCTGGAGCGAAGTGTTGGGCTCGTTCCAGTCGTAGTCCTTCCGGTTGATGTCCTTCACCTCCACGAAGTAGTGCTGCTGCAGCAGCTCCTTGAACTCCTCCCGGGCGCTGTGGTTGCGGTAGATGTAGAACCAGGTCTGGAACGAGGGCAGTGCCACGGCGGAATCTCGGTTCTGGTAGCGTCCTAGCACTCGACGGTACACGTCCCGCAGCTGCGAGCGATCCTTGGGATATCCGAAGACCTTGGTGAACTCCGCGTAGGTCTCGCCCTCGGAGGCCTCTGCCAGCACTCCCAGAATGGAGGTCACTCCCAGGGGCGAGTGCACCTGGTTGGCGTCGATGTCTTTGTTGAACTTCAGCAGCTGCATGGCAATCAGCTGCGAGGTCGCACTGGCGAAGGAGGCGCCCTTGGAGGAGCCCTCCTTCTCGGCGGTGGGCAGGGAGCACACCAAGGCCGCTAACAGGGGCAGCACACAGAGAACCGCTTTCATTTTGGGTCGTAACGAACTGACGGATCGCGCGAGTGGAGCGCGAATGAAGCTCAAGAAAGTTGGCCAAAGACTTTTTATGAAAGCCAAACAAGAATCATTTGAATCCGCGTCGAGAACCAAGCAGCAACGGCAGCGGCCGCGTCGCCGACTGCGCCTCAAACTGGTTAGCAGAGAGTGGCAGAAGCAGTGGGGAGGGGGCTTCCATATAAGGTCTTGGATCGATCGATCGTTGGTTTGACAAAGAAAGTCGCTTTTGCTCTACTGCGACTTCTGCGACCCGAACGAAAGTGGAAGTGGCGTGGGCCGTGGGCTCTCGAGCACCTACAAATGGGGCAAGCAAACAAACAATCGTTTCGGTATTCAAATAATCGTATGTACGTACACCTCCCCCTCCTTCCAGAGTTCAAAGTCATTGAAAACCCCAAATGGAAGACCCAGTCCCTCCTCCAAATGGACAGTCAACAACAGGTTTCCACACCCGATGACGGCTACGGCTACGGCTACGGCTACGTGATTGACATTATACGAGTACCAGTACGAGTACGAGTACGAGTACGAGTATCTTCTGGCTGGTTAATTGTTAATTGCATTTTCTTGTCTCGTGTGGCAATGGCAATCGTATTTCCATGAATCCGAGATGGGCTTACAGATTGCCTCACAGCATCATCTGTATCTGTAAGATATCTGTAAGTAGGAGAATTTTGCAAGTCCATCCAGAGTTCTCGAGATCCACTACCTGGCCACGCTTGACGCTTGCGGCTTGACCCAGTTTCTATGCAAATCGAGTGGCGAGACACGGCCAAATCGAGCATTTGCTGGCCCAAAACACACAGTTTCAACACACTTGGAGGCCACTGAACTTGGCCGTCGCGTCGTCATCATCATCATCGTTGGCTGCGTCGTGCTTCTGATTACCAAATAAGACTCAAAGCACAGCTCGAAGCCAGGGGAAAGCGGCCAGAACGGAGAGGCACAGAGACAGAGCCAGAGTCAGAGAGCCAGTATACGTACACCAGGTGCCGGCTTGCTAATATAAAGTGCTAAATTTACACGCTGCGGTTGGGCAGCAGCAGCATCGCTCGTGTCTCTCCTTATGGGGAACGAGTTTTCCATTTCCAGAACAAGTCTCGGCAAAAAAGTTGCACAATTGCATCAGGCGGAGGCGGCGAGGGGAGGATCAGGGAACTTTCCAGATAGCCAGAGAGCAGACTTACAAAGAGGCTGGGATTCTGGTTGGGTTATGTAATTTATACAACAAGTTCCGCATCTGTTCGAGATACAGATACTCTCTCAGAGGAGCGCAGGTTAGTGAACTTTGTGATTAATCAGAGATCAATTAACATCAAGCGGAGGGAGTCTTCCAATGAACCTGATATTATTCTCTTCGTGCTTAATTTGTTTCACTTAATTTTAGATTGTGTATTTAGCGATTAGGTCTTTTGTAGGGCATGGAATCCTCGACTCTTGAGGCTACTAAGAAATGGAACAAGTTTATTGTATTTTCATGCCTATGAATATCATGCCACGTCAAAGGTGGATATATATAATTACGATTATAGCTACAATTATATATTTATCGATTAGAATATTGATTTTTAACCTGGCTATAGATACGTACATCTCAAACTACGAAAACTATTGATTGGAGGTTAGATCACTAGTTCAAAGTCTCTTCTTTGGGACTCCAACGATTATTCTGCATATGTTAATGGTGTTTTTCTGCTGTTTAAGGACACTATAGAACCATATCCCAGTTAGCTGCAGAACTCTCCATAACTTTCACACCTGATGCAAACAGTCTTTATCAGCCTAACATAGGATGGCTCTTGAATTATGTAATACTTTATAAAGGTAAAAAGCAAATGTGTTGTTCCTTTCTGCTAAGCGTATTCCATGTTCGGTTCAGCCAAAAAGTTATCATTACTCTTTCATTTATTTGTTGTCACCTTGGATCTTGGGGCTGCCGGTTTTATTTTGTAACAAGAACAGAAACGGATAGTATTTTGTATTTGTATTTTTGTGTGGCGTACATAAATTTCAATGCCCAAAACCATAAATTAGTGCGTCGTAGTAGTGCCCTGCAGAGTGGTTGAGTGGTGGCGAGTGGCGAGTGGTGCGGTGGTTGAGAGAATTCTTTCCATGTGGGCAGCAGACCCCAGACCCCAGACCCCAGACCCCGAAAGGGTCGTGCGGGTTAGGTGAATTAGAAGTTATTATGGAGACAAAAAAGGAAAGAGAGCAAGAGGAAACTAACAAATGTCGCATAAATTAGAGGAGGCATGGAATCCGGCAGGACACGGACACGAACACGGACACCTTCTCGACTTCTTGTAAGACGAGGCCCAAACGGCACCGCGGGGAGACATTAAGAATTAAGAGGAATCTTTATCCCAGAGCTGGACAATAGTTTCGGAAATAGTTTCGGTCTTTATAGAAGGGCGTGACTAATTGTTTGATTTATGCAAATGTACTGCAAAACTTGTTTCGTTGCCTGCTCCTTCGAGGCAGTAATTAGTGACTGGGAGAGATACTTTCTTGAAGATACTTTCCTCTACTATAAATCCTTTGGCTTTAAGGAACCCCATACCGTCTCCCTCTCCCTGGAGGTGGACTGGTGGCTGCTGGCTGTCATCTGTCAGATGTCAGGACGGTGGCAATACATCATAAGTCAAAAGGTGAGCCCTGGCCCCGGGGTCGCCAGCAACTTGCACAATAATTAAACTTCTGTTTATTCTCTCTCTCTCTCTCGTGGATCTCTCTGGCATAGAAGTTCTTAATTATGTTTGATAAACTAACATCCTCCCCCTCTCCAGAGCCCACGCATCCACACACACACATACATGTCACGTTGACATTTGGCACTCGACAGGCCTCCCTCCGGGAGAATGAGAGATGATGAATCTCCCCTGCTTTTGGTTTTGTTTTTGCCTCCAGGGCCATGTGTGTGACATAATTACAGAACAAAAGCCTCTCCAGGAGGGGGGAAATGGGGAAGGGAAAGGTGGTTGGAGTCTTCTTGAAGTCTTTCCCGGAATTCACGCGCTTCATTTGCTTCGCTTACTCCTTGGATCGCGAACTTTTCCGGGCACAGGCATGGCACTTCATTTAGTCACGTTTTAAACTTGAAAAAGAGTGGAAAGTGGAGCTCCAGGAACGGCGCAGGAGCAAGGGCCCATCGTCTAACAAGTTGTTTGCTGTGAAGGCGCAGATCCTGCCCTGACACGTTGGCGGAGCGTAGCGGAGGGATGGCCGGGGAGAAAATCCCACTCGTAATTGATTTATGACATCAAAGACATATTTTTCGCAATGTTGCGTGGCCTACGTGCGTGACAGTTGCCGGGAACGAGGACCAGGACCACGACCAGGACCAGGACCTGGACCATGGCCTAAAGGACTAAAGTGGCTAGGACTTGGGCTGGTCCTGCTCCTGGTCTTGTTGATAATTTTGACTTATGGCCAGGCTCGTGTCGGGTCTGCTTCTGTGCAGGATTTGTCACATAACTCGTTGTCACTGGGCGAGGAGCGTCTGTCAAAAGTGCTACACGAAGATCTGCCTCCAGCCATTGCCTCCATCTCCATCTGTATCTCCATCTGTATCTGTATCTGTATCTCCGTTCGTGTATCTGTATCTGCGTGTTTCTGTGGCAAAGTTTTTCTATTAGGCGCAATTATTTCAAGGTATTATTGCTTTTAATTAATTCAATTAAACGCTTCATAAATTTTTACTTTTTGATTTCGTTTTGCCTGCGGCATTGGCGGTCGCCTGGCGCTTTCCTTTAATGGAAAAACTTTGCCCATGGTTGGCCAGAGGATTTCCACCCAAAGGGTTTAATTAACGGCAATTGCTGGCAAGGAGCAGCAGGAGGAGCGGTAGGCGGAGCTGGAAAAGGGAATGGGATGGAATCTGTTACTTTTCTCAAGATTTCCGTTGTTTATTGAGATTCCCGTGGATTCTCGTGGCTTTGGCTCAGCGTAAAATTTGATTTGGGCTTTGAATGCCGCTTATTGAATGCCGCGCGGGGTTCGCGTTTATTTGCATTTTTGTGTGCATGGCTGGAGAAGGAGTCGTCTCGAGGAGGCAGGAGTGGGCATTCCACAGAGTACTCTAGCCCCCTGGCTATTAAAAGCAGGACTCTTCCCTCCGATGAGTCCTTCCCTGATCGAATTACCACCCAACACAAACCAACAACAGCAACAGAAAGGAGCGCAGAACAAAAGCTCAAAGTTCGCTTTCTGGCACTTCAATTAAAAGGTCATCAGCAGTCGACACAGCTGCTGCACAGGGGATATCCTCGAGGACCTCCACCTAAAACGTTATTGATATGTAAGAGGCATGCTCACACCTTCCCAGAGAGAGAGAGAGTGCATGAACGAGGGGGGATGGATGCTCTCATGTGAGGTCTGGACTTCCATCATTATCAGGGACAGACGGGGAAAGTTTTCCTGTTGTCCTGTCCTGTCCTATCCCGTCGGCGTCCGGTCGGTCAGGGGCCAACCCTCTGGCAAATAATCGAACTAACGTAGAACAACAATTTGTTTTAAATGCCAAAAGGGAACAATCAGGCAGCCAATCGAACCCCTTAATAATTTATGAAGCAAAGGTGCCAGGGATCTACAAGGAGCAACGAGCAGGGAGCAGGGAGCAGGGACTGCTGCTCTCCACATGTGGGGGATGTCCGGGCAAAAGTTTTGCCATCTAATAGAGATTAAATGCATGTCGAAAAGGCAATTAGTTGGAGCTTCTGTTTCTCGGGGATCCACCATCCAACCCTCTTCCTCGCCCTCTCTTCGACTCCAACTTTCGACCTTTGTCCTTTGCTCATTGAATCAAAGTGTTGCTCAATTTTTCTTTTGGCCAAATGTGTCCAAGGTGTTGTGCCTTCTGGGGGATGGATGGACGGATGGATGGTGGATTGCTGGATGGATGGATGGAGTGGCAACTGCCGGAAGCAATTTAACCGAACCCTTCTCAAAGGTTTCCTTCCTCGAACATCGGACCTCGAGATCAAGATGGGAATCAGAGGCGCAACGTCAATG